TGCCAAACTGAAGCGCCCCCTACTCGCCCAGCAGCAGCGTGGGCTCAACTCCATGCCACCACCGCCACTGCTGTGCCTCACCTTGGCAGTCATGGTGGTGCAGCAGTCCCACTCACTGGGCTGCAGGGGTGGCTCCTGCCTGGAGCTGATCTGGACCGGCTGCAGTCCTGTGCCCCACTGTGGGTGCAGAAATCTCAGGGAGTACATTTTATCATGACCCCATCTGCTGATGTTGTGTCCCCATTTGGAGTCATGACTCGGTTTAGGAACCACGGATATGAGCCATCTTTTGGGAACTAACTTGTATTTCAGAAGTCTGAGGTGTAAAAATTGTTCAGTTGTTCATAACTACTGACTTCCATAACTAATATGTAGAAACATATGAAACAGCATCTACCCAGAATGCTTACTTTTTCCCCTCCTTTCTTCTGTGGTTAAATAAAAAGATGAGTGTAAGATAGTGTAAGAACAGGCATACATTTTTTATTCCTATGTGTTGCTCTTGTATTCTAGTGCCTGTCTTCGGTTGCCACTGCCTTGCAATCTGGCTTCCTTCCATACTGTGAACCTGTATACCAGCGTTGTGTAAACCTGGTACAGAAGACTCTTGCACAAGCCATGGTATTTTCCTATTATTTTTCTCAGGATTTGCAGAGTATCTCCTAAAATCAGTATGTTTAATGTCATAAGCTAGATGAAAATAGGGATTTTTAGTATACCCCTTATATTTAGATGATGTTATCATAACTAAGGCAATCCTTGACCTGTGTGTATCGTATAGAGACCTCATCGTGCTTCATTTAAAATATGTTCTTTAATCAATGTTTTGTTACAGTTGCACAATGCTCAGCCAGATCAATATGAGGCTCCTGATAAAGACTTCATGATAGTGGCTCTTGATTTACTCAGTGGCTTGGCTGAAGGACTTGGAGGCAACATTGAACAGCTAGTGGCTCGCAGCAATATCCTGACATTAATGTACCAGTGCATGCAGGTGAGAGGAGTAATACTGTAAAACTCTGAGATCTAAAACAAACAAACAAACCACTAAAGTTGGCTACTTTTTTTTGTAGGATAAAATGCCTGAGGTACGACAGAGTTCATTTGCCTTGTTAGGTGACCTGACTAAAGCGTGTTTTCAGCATGTTAAGCCTTGCATAGGTATGTTTTTGTGTTCCTTCAGTTTTCTTCTTTCTCATATTTATAATTAAATAAAGTTGGGTGGTCATCTATTGTAGATCACTTTTATATATATTTTTTCTGTGGTTTAAAACAGATGCTTTAATGTGGCCAGTCATTACTACCGCATTAGCTTGTGTTTCTGGGGAGGGAGCAGGCAGATCGAGGGGGTTATCCTGAATCAGAGTATCTTAGAGTCCTGGTTAAAGACTGCTACAGTAGAGACCTTAAAGCTACTTTTCACTGGCAGGAAAATTAATGGTAGACCGTAGGCAGCAATTCTATTCATTCCTATTTCTGTGGGGCTTGTTGGGCAGCTTGATGTGGTATAAAGCAGTTAAATTTTCCTTCCTTTTACTAGCAAGAATGTCTGGCCCTATGTCTTGCTAAACCGTATTTTTTTAAAAAACATTATTTTCCCAATTTCTTAAACTACCTGAAAGTATATTTCATAAGAGTTTTTATACCGTGATGGTTGGCCTGTGTAGCTCAATTGCTGTGATCTGGAATGTTCTGGAACTAATACAGTTTGTTTTTGTTTGGTGTTTTGAGAAATAGCATTCCTGAATTTATGCACTTCAGTGCTTGTTTTAACAGGATCTTAATTATTATATTCAGGTGCCTGAACTAGAAGCACATGTGAAAAGCTTAACTAGAGTTTGTTTCTTTTGCTTCAACCCTTAGTCTTTTAAAACACTAGCCTTTTCCCTTCAGTAGGGACATATACCATAAAGACTCTTAAATCTACTTCAGACAAGTTATTAAATTTGCTAGTAGATTTTTACATTTTAATTCATTATTCTTGATTTAACCCATATCTTTCTAAACTGCCATGAAGGCAATATTATTAGAAAGAGCTGGTTGCAAAGGTGTGACTCATGACATGCCTTCTTACATAATAAGTCTTTTCATCTAACTTTTGGATTTGGGTCAAATGTCTTGTATCTCTTTTCCCAGTGCACGGTGTTAAAATAGTAACTATGTTATGGCCAGGTACAGACATTACACTTATACAGGTATAAGCGATTGGAAACTGTCTATATTTGTAACGGAACAGAAATTCAGCACACTTGAACTGGTTAAAAAATGGCAGAACCCCGTTAAGACTTGCCTCCCACACCAAAGGGTAAGCGTGTGTTCTGTTTGCCACTGATCTGAATTATGCTGCTTATAGAAAGCTGTGTAACTTGGATTGATTCCACCTTGGGCTTTGTAAATGTCTGTACCTAGCCTATGTATCCAATCTTTTTCTGCATAACAAATCAACTGCTTTACATGTGATGCCCATTGCTGATGTTTAGTGGTAAAAGTATCTAGCTTCTTGCGGGGGGTGGGGAAAAACTTTAATATAACTTTATAACTCTTGTCTAATCTACATGAGGCAGTCCATGCATTTAAAACATTTTGCCACCTAAAACTATTTATTTACTGAGAACTTCTACTAGTGGAGCCAGGCAGCTATATTATCTGTGTGGTTGTAAAATTGTTGTTCTTTCTAGCTGATTTCATGCCGATTTTGGGAACCAACCTAAATCCTGAGTTCATTTCTGTGTGCAACAATGCCACATGGGCAATTGGAGAAATCTCCATTCAGATGGGTAAGATTTAGTTTTCTTTGAGTTAAGTTTAAATGCTGTCACATTTCGTGCTTTTATGACTATGGTTTAGTTTAGCATAATACTATCAACAGAAAACTTTTACTTGTCCTGTGCTAGTTTTTGAAAATCAGTCTAACCTTTTCTGATTTCTCTTTTTCTGTTTGGCTGTTTTAGGTATAGAAATGCAGCCTTATATTCCAATGGTGTTGCACCAGCTTGTAGAAATAATTAACAGACCCAACACACCAAAGACGTTGTTAGAGAACACAGGTACCCTAAACTGAACCATTCATGATGAAGGGAATTATGGAGTTCTGTTTTTAAAATAAATAAATAAATGAATAATTTGCTTAGGGAAATCAAAACAGAACTGTTGTGTAGTTTAACTATTTGGCTTTTATAAGCAAAGGCAACTTTATATTGCAGAAGTTTTTACAAGTCTCAGTCTTTGAGTAAACCATCTATCATATCTAGATTCTAATTAATACTCTTGTTAATCTAAATACCTTTCAAATTTGATTTGTATTCAATCTGACAAATGTATACAGTAACACACAAATAATTAGAAGTTTTATTTTACCAGTGGGTTTTGAGATATTCTGTGCAAGTGCATGCTTATATGTGTACTGTGTATATATGTCTAACTTTCAAAAGCTTAAAAAATTGGCATATATAAAAACAAGAAAAAATGAAGATTTAAAAATCAAAAATGAAAGATCAGTGAAAAAATAAAGTAAAATAATTTTACATAAAAATCTAGATCTGTGATGGGTAAATTTACTACGAGAGAATTAAAGTGGAAATGTGTATAGTTGTTACTACGTAATTACTCGATCAGAAATTATGAGAACTACTATAATGATGGCATGCATGTTTTATGTTCTGGCCATTGATTATGGCCTTAAGATTGGGAGCTGTCAGCAAGTGTTGTCTTAATCTTGAGTTTCTGAGGCTTGTTTCTTTTGCATTTTTAGATGGCATGTTCTTTTATAAAGAGCGCCTTCCATACTACAGAAGAGTTAAACAATGTTTTTTCTGTGTCTTTTAGTATATTACTTTTTCCCCTTTTCTTAATAATTGAGCATCTACAGTTACTGCTACTTACTTCCCTCTTGATGAGGGAACCACAGAGTTCAGGCTAACCTCATGACCTCATGTCGCTGACATTGATTTTGAGAAGTACAGAATTACAGCTAAATTCAGTGAGAGAGTAGGATGAGAGACACTGAAAAAGAACACTTTATTTCAGTGCAAGTTTATCCCCAATATTTGGTGAAAATAATAAATGTAAAACTTTTTTAAAAAGTTTAGTATGGAAGGTGAGCTTAATAAGAAAAATGCCTGGTTGTTTGACATATGGGTACTGCTTTTATTTAAAAACACATCATTTTTGAGCAGCTGCACCTTATGTGAAAGGCTGAAGAATATTAATACTAACCAATACTTTCTCCTCATATTTTCTGATGTAGTACCTTTACCTGACAAGCATCCAGTGCTCAAGTGCTTGTTTCTGTTAGTGTTATAGAAATTATAGAAGCATCCAAACATTAATTTTCTGTTTTATTCTTTAATAGTTAAATGTGGATGCATAACTGCAAGTAAATGTTGAATGTGGTATACTTATTAGAAGTTTGTTGTGGGATATCACACTGCATATTACAGTATGCCTGGCACATTATTTTTTCTACTTAGCCTAATATTTAGCAGCGCATGGTAAGATGCCAGCTAAATGCACACAGGTGTTACATATTGTGCTTTTTCTGAATTTGTTTCTCTTGGGATAATTATGAAGAGCCACATTCAGTAAAAATCATCATTGCATAGAAAATGAAAAGGTGTCATAAGCTTCAGCTGCTGCCACCTCCTCTTTGTGTAGATTTTCAAAATATGGTAGATGGATAGAATTTATCAAATATGGCTGGCTGGCTTAAGTGTTTTCTGATGTAAATAACTAACATTGTCTTATGTCAAAATGCCACTAGTATTAAATATATTAAAACTGGCACTGCTGTAAGATTGCCTTTTAAAACTAATCCACAAATTTTACACGCTGTGAATTTATTAAAGATAGAGAGAAATAAAGAAAATATTATCTGACTGATGTGCTTTAACTCAATGTCATATGAACCAGCTTAACTTGAAACTTCTAGTATATCCTGCATCAAACTTTACAGGAGAGAGCATCATCTGCTTTATTGCATGTTTCATGGGATTGTTCACAAATGCCTGTTTTAATTAGAGTGTTGCATAGTATGTCTTTTGAACATAGGTTTCCTTTCTCTGCCTCATATGAATCTGCTGGATTTTAGTATTATTCATGTAGTTTGCTTCAAGTAATCCTTAAACATTAAACCCCCACCCTCTCCTTTTTCTGGAAGATAAATCTTTGGCAAGTTGAGTGAACACCATTAAAACACACGTGTGATAACTTATTTTCAGTCTACGCCTTGCAACAAAAGCAATATACTAAACTATCTGTTCAGTCAGATGAATTAAAAACTGCCTTTTTTCCTAATGCCTTTTTACCAGAAGTAAGTCTCCTTAAAAGAAAAATTGTTGCAAACAGTATATACGTCCAGATTAACTATACCGTGAAAAACTACATAGACATCTTCATCACTGTAAATTAGTTAAGAAAAAACCTTGTTGCTAAAAATAATGAAAAAATTAGTTTTAAAATATTTTTAATTAAAGGAGTTTTTCTGCTAGTACGTTCAGATGGCTCAAAGAACATACTCAAAGTAATTCCTCTCTAGATGTATTTTTACTGTTGACATTTAATGTGACCTTTTAACTTCTGAAATCCAAATAGTGCCAACTGTTTAAAATACTAAGTCAATTATTTTTAAAAAAAATGAAAAGGTGTAAGTGACTTTTTATGAAGAAATTCAGAAATAGTATATTTGAGTGGGTTGTTTTTTTTTCCCTTGACTTCTGAGATGTGTGATTTGAAGGCAGTCAGTAACTAAAATCCAAAGGCTCTTTGATTAGAAATTGTGTTTTTGGTGTTCTCTCATTTACTTTTTTTTAAATTTTTCTTTTGATCTTGGAGAGTATACCATATATGTTGCTGCCTCTTATCTTAGGGGGTGGTAATAAACAGCACTGGTGAAATCTTATGTTTATTATCATACACAGATTCTGTTGGTTTCTGTTTCTGAGTTATTTGTTGTTTTTTCTTTATTTTTTCTCCTTCCCCCTCATTTGCTCATGTCTTGGTTGGCGTTTGGTGGTGTATAACCGTGATTGCGTTACCTTAGCAATAACAATTGGTCGTCTTGGTTACGTTTGTCCTCAAGAGGTGGCCCCCATGCTACAGCAGTTTATAAGACCCTGGTGTGTATTATTCAATCTTTTTTTTTAATTCATTTTTCTTCACTCTTTCTTTCTTTCTTTCTTCTCTCTATCTCACTTTTAGATATATTTTCAGTTGGTTACAAAATCACAATCCTTAATCATTGCCAACCATGTGACTAATCTTGTCCTATCAGGTTTGTGAGTTTTTAGTAGCACCGTCATGTATTCTTTATGTTGTGGCTAACGACTAATTTATGCATGGGATAAGATTGTCACATGCTTGCTGTGTTAAAAAGCTTGACTATGAAAGAGCATTTTAAAATCCACCAGAATGATAATACAATGCATGCGAATACTGTAAAAATTTTAAACCGTGCATTACTTTACTTTAAAATTCAGTCTGAGACTTGAATTGCTGTAAGGAATACATGTTTATAGATTTGTTATGTATAAAGTAGTTTGCTTGCTGCTGTAAAAGTTAAATAACTGTTCTGTAAGTGGTATCTGACATACTTCATACTGTCACAGTATACTACATGTATTTTCTAATACTGATAGCTCTTGTAGTGTGCATAAAAAGTTCAGTAGTATTTAATGGAATACAGGTCACGCTTTTTTTAGTAATTGTACCTGTACATAGAACAGTGTTTTAAGGTTGAGTTGATGTATGAGTTGACTTGTCTATAACATTGGAACTGAGAGCAGATAAGCTATGTATGAAAAAGATGCTAACACTTATGGTAAACATGCCTTCAGTGTGACACTTGCTCCATCAAATACCGTATCTACTTACTTAAATTCAAACAGAGCTCCATTCTATTTTCTAATGTTCTTTTTCCCCCAATTTATCAGGTGTACCTCTCTACGGAACATAAGGGACAATGAGGAAAAAGATTCAGCATTTCGTGGGATTTGTACCATGATCACTGTCAACCCCAGCGGAGTAGTCCAAGTAAGATACTTGCATAAGCCTTGATTTTTCTTGATAGGTTCCTAAAACTAAAACTTAAATAGAAGAATAATAATACACATGTGGATCCAGAGGTGTTATAGACAGTCTAGTTATAGATATAGATCTATATATGTCAGGTTTTGAACTCTATAATTGAAGTATACAGAGTTAAGCTTATTTTACTTTCTTACTTCAAATATACCTGCATTTAAAAACCAGTGCTCCATCCCTGCCTTCTTGTGGTAACTGTTCTTGGAATTGGAATGTGAATACTGAAGACACAAATTTAACTCCAGACGTTTTAGTGTTCCTTGCCCAAAATGCTTTAAAGTGAATTTGCTGTACCATGGGGTTCTATTTTTATGTCCATTCAAGAATTAAATATAAAGAAATAATGTATATGTATAACATTGTCTTCTTTGCAGGACATATTCCCTTTAATAATTGAATGCTGTTCAATTGTTTTTATATTATTCAAATCATCAGCCCTTACAGATGTCTATTAGAAATTACATTTATATTAAGTATTGTAACACATGTCTTATCTAGCTAGTAATATAAATGGTTGTCACTATTCGTTGTATCTTGAAGCTTTATTGCAAAGATTAGAATTGATCTTTTCAAGTTTTTATTTTTACTAAATTTTAATAGAGTTTCAGTATCACGGTCATCAGTTATCACCAGGGATCCAGGTTTTCTGTTTCCCACGGAAAAACAGAGAAAACCACAGATTTCCCATTTTTATCAGAGAAAATGTGGATTTTTCCCTTTTAGAAGAGAAACCTGTGGATTTCCCTGTGCTGTAAAGAGCTCTGCAGGCTGACTGAATTCCAGCCTACAAGACCTGTTTGCAAAAGGTGGGAAACCCTCAACCCTGCCCAGTTGCAAACAGTGCACTCCCTGCCCTGCTGCCCTCCCTCAGGCCCTCTGGAGTGCAGCATGTGCGACTGGCATGGCCGGGCACAGCAGGGCCATGCACGAAAACTGCCTGCGCTGCCCTGGCCACCCTTCCTCTGCATGCACGGGGGCAGTGCACATCTGCCCTGCCTCCACCCCCCACATAGATCTGGGGGAAGTGGGTCCCCCATCCCCTGGGACTGCACACTGCTGCCTGCCTGCTGCAGGCTTGGGCAGGGTCAGCTCCCAGTGGCAGAGGGGGAGCTGGCTCCTGCTCCTGCTGTAGCAGCTGTTGCCTTCCTTTGGGGGCAGGGGGCTGTGAGCCTGGGTCCCTGGCCCCATAGTCCTGGCAGCTGGGGCCCCCTCCAGGAGGGCTGCGGGGCAGGGGCTGTGGATGGCGGGTGAGGGGCATAAGCAGGGCTAGAGGGCCATGGGGGGGGGAAGTGAGGGACATCAGCAGGACTGGGGGGGTGCTGTAGGAAGGCATTGAATTTTAACCCTGGATTTGGGGATTTTTATCAGAATCTGCAGTTTTTATTGCAGAATTTGAGATTTTTTTTTTTTACTCACAAAACCAGGATCCCTGGTTATCACTGTTAGTAATACTGTTGCTGCTTTAAAACAAATGCCTATTTAAGGATTCATTCCTATTTTGACTTAGTAGTGAGAACAGCGTTTCTTTATTGCATGTAGTCCTTTTACTTGTTTTCATCACTACGTAATGTTTGGATCACAGTATGACCTGAATGCTAGGCTGTTGTGACAGATCTGTCTTTTGCCTTTGATCCAGTTGCCCATCAGTTTCCTCAGATGGGGATAATACTTGCTCCAAGACTTTATGTATGAAGTGATCAACCATTCTGATAGATGGTGTTATGTATTGTATCATTTCTTTTTGTGTGTATTTATATGTATACTTAGAAATTTTTATTTGTATAAAATAACAATAAAGATTGTTATTGCCTTGTTCACTGGCTAACCTGACAGCACTGTAGGGATGTGGTCGAGCTGGGGAAAAGCAGAAGCAGTGACTTGCATGCACATCAGCAACTGGATGGCTACCAGCAGTGGACCCCCCCCTTGCTCCCTAGCTCACATGCACCCAAATCACCATCAGGGATGATTGTCCCCCTTACTTCTGCCAATGTAACTTGAGTGAGGTTATTTCAGATCCTCCTAGATCAGTGCCAGTGAAACTCCACTATGTAATGTGTTTATGTTCATATTTTTATAGGAGTAAGTTCTAGAGATGTCTAGGATTTGGAGTTGTTTTTTTAAACATTGGGCTTTCCATTTTCCTCTTGTGTCTAAAGTCAGCCCAGCTGAATACTGAGAGATGCAGATAGCTTTAAAAAAAAAGATTAAATATGTAGTACCTTGATTCGTCCCTTAATGTAATCTAGAAACAAAAGCCACAGTTCTAAATAAAGGATGCCAGAAGTTAAGCTTTTGATCCAATATTTTAAATAATAGTTAATTATTTAAATGCTAAAGTAATAAACTAAAGTTAAATGCACTGAACACTTGGTCAGCAATTTCTTCTAATGCTGTGTGCACCAATATGGCAGTGGTGAGGTTCTTGTTGAAAACCTAGACAGAAACATCAGAGTTCCATTTCCCACCTTCACATCCCCCCATGCTCCTAGGCATAAGGTATATCTGATTTATACTACATAGTTTTGCTGGCAGAATTTAATGATGGCTCAGCTCCCATGTGGCAGCAGAAACCCTCAGTTCTGCTGACAGAGTAGCACCAGCTCTGTGAATGAGAGGAGGCAGGAACTACTGGGGTATGTGCTTTCCCCTGCCAGCTTCCCTGTGAGAGCTGCTGGCACCAGGCTTGTAATGACTAGCAAGAAAGATTGTTAAAAAGATGGTAATAAACTGTTCTGTTTCCCCAAGGCCTGGGACAAGATGTAGTAGGCCTTACTTGTAGCAAGGGAGATCTAAGCTGTATGCTGGAAAGAACTTTCTAATTAGGGAGTTAACAAGAGAGAGGTTGTAAAATCTTCAGTGTTTTAAGTTTTTAAGTTGAGGTTAGAGTAGCTTTTATTGGCGTTCCTTTGGACGGGGATGATCACACCTTGAACTGAACTGGACTCCTGATGTTCCTTCCATCCCATCTTCTCTGATTCTGTATTGTTCTTTAAATACAAATTTGTTGTTCATGTCAGACTTGAGGGCAAAGCATTTTTTTTTCTTGTTTTAGTCCATTATAATCTTTTGCAAGGTGCAGCTACAGTCTGTCTAAAATGTGCTTTCAAGTTTTTGAATTTTGTCTCGATTGATTTGGTTTAGTGGGGAGAAGGCAGGTGTGATAGTCAAAGATGCATTATCTCCATGTAGTAAATGCAGTTTGTCGCAATAATTTTGGTAGAGCTGGTCAAAAAAGCATAACCAAAATGTTCCAGCAAGAATGGCAGAGCAATTATTTTTAATATGCTGGTTAATATAAAATTTAATTTAAAATTAGAAGGGAAAGAATGTTTTGGCATATTTGAGTGGAAATTTAATTTTTTTTTTCATTTCTAAACTGTTTTGTATTAAAACAAGTTTTTTGTAGGTTTTTTGTGTTTTGGTGGGTTGTTTTGAAAAATAGTTTGAATCTAAAAGGTTGAAATAGATTGTTTTAGTTGACCCCTCCTGCCCAACCCCCCAAATTGTTTTTTTTTTTTTTTTTTCTTTTAGTGAAAAACTGAAGAATTTTGGTTTTTCATCCTTCTCCAGAATGGAAATTTATTTTGAAATCTTAGTCACTAAATCCAGTTTCTAACCAACTTCACTATGTGATTCTATATCACTATATTACATAAAAAATATAACTTGTTGTAAAGGTAGTTTAACTCCTCACCAGTCTGTGTCAGTAAAAAATCCTATATTCAGTCTCGTATAACCTTCTAGGATAGTGAAACTTCTTTTGTTGGCCTCTTTCTGGTAATACAAACTGGATTCAATTTACTGTAAAAGTTGGTATGTAGTGTTCTAGAAGAAAGTGTGTCTTTGTTTTTACTTTGTCATTCAGGAATGGTTTATGGCAACTTGAACATTTTACATTTTTGGTCCAATTTATATATAGTGTCCTCTTTTAATCAATGTAGCCTAAGAGAGGGTTGATATAATGAAATGTAAATGTGGAGATTCTGAAATATGGTGTCATCTAATTTTTATAGATGTAGCCTGTTAGCCATATAAGCTGGATTTTTCCAGAGCCGTAGCTGACTTGTGTGACATAGAGTAAGTACTCCTGGAAACTGCGTGTCCCAAAAGTGTGGCATCAGAAACTTCCTGGAGTGGCAGTTGCATGCACAGACAAGTACTTGTGTTGTTTTATACATTTTTAATTTTACTTTTAAATAAAGTAAAAACATGTGAGTTGAAGTTCAGGTTTCTGCACAATTCATAAAATAAATCCATATACTATATTAATTTATTCCTTTTATTAATTAGAATAATACATTTGGAAATTCTAACCTGTGTGATGTTTAATCTTGTAGGACTTTATATTTTTTTGTGATGCTGTTGCATCGTGGATTAGTCCAAAAGATGATCTCAGAGACATGTTCTGTAAGGTAATGTTCACAATTTAATAGACTATTCCAACTGTTTTGGCTCCTTTTGTTTTTTCCTCTGCCTCACTATCTGTTTTTTCCTATATTCCATTGTACTTCATCTGTTATGTTCATGAAGAACCATGTAGGAAAAATAGTGTCCCCAGTATTAATGCTATAAATCTGAATTTTGCTTAAAACTTTGCCAATCAAAAATGTGATTATATTTAATAACATACTGTTTACACTTAGTTTTTTAACTGAAAGGGGAGTCAGCCATGACATTTATGCTTAGTATTGGCACCATGCAGCAAAAAACATTTTTACATGTGTTTTATACAAGTATATTTTTAAACTTCAATTATAATTCCTATTTCTAGAATTTTGTCTTATCAAGTGGCTTGCTTTATATTTGGATAGGTGGAAGGAGTAGCAAGTGGAGAAATCATACAGATAGGAAACTGTAGAAAATATGCTTTTGGCATTCTTTTTTATCATAGTTGATTTTCATAGTTTGTAAAAACTAAAATGCTTTGTGCTGATTATTTGCCATGCTGGTGTTGGGGGAAAAAAGCCTCTCAAATTTAACTTTTATAACGAAGACTGGCTAAACAGAGATTTAAGTACTGTGGTCTGCACTTCGTGCATTATGGTCATAGAGAGTCCTATGGGAATAAACAGTTTTTGCTGGTATTAATGTCATAAATTTGGATTTTGAACAACATCTCTCCAAAGGAAATGTTTGGAAGTGAATCACAAAAGTCACTTTTGTGCCTGGAAATGTTAAAAGAAGAAACATTTGGAATAAATGTGAGAGGACTAAGAAAGATACTTTATGCTGTTTTTGGTCCATTTTACTAAGCTGGCCTTGGGATTCTGGACCATCAGCTGAGACTTTGGAAGCTTGTTATTTATTGAAAATTCAACTTTTGGTAACTTTGGCTAAAATCTGGCAGCAAATAAGAACTCCTGTTTACACCTTTACTTGTTTTCTAGATAGATTTTTATTCTTTCAAAAAAAATTCCAGTTAACTAGGCCAGGTCCGGTTGTGCCAGATCCTCTAAATATAATTACACTGGCCATCTAGTGGGGACCAATGAAGAAGGGGTATGCTTTGATTTGTCATTGTCTTTTCAAAGCATGTTCCTGGTGACAGATGATCTAAAGTTTCCTTTATATAAAATCTGAAGTTTTGAGGTCTGAGAAGGTACCTTTTTTTCCAGGGTTGGATGGAGAATATGTATTCTGATGCAAAGTTGTGAAACGGCAAGAATAAGCCTGTTCTGATTCTTGAGAGTCCTTGGATGAAGTTTCTAAGTCTTTCCTCCTATCCAGTGCCAATACAGAGTGCCATGATGGTTGCTATTTGTTCCTTGAGTTTTACCCCTTACCACATTTAAGAGCCACGTAAAACCTGCTGTTTTGAATCGGTGTTTTCAGGATATGTGTATGTTCCCCAACTTAATGTCTCAGAGTTTCTGAAACAGATTTTTTGCTTAATGTTACTTTTTTTAAAGGGAGGGATCAGGAAATTTATTTTCATTCTTTTGCCCACAACCACATTTCTGGACAATAATATTTGAAAGGGTCTCTTCTGTTTCTTCTGAAGTGGGATTTACCTTCATCAGAAGAAAACTGCTCTTTTCTTCCAATAGTTGGGTTATCCCTGAAGTGTATGGTAGGCTGTAGCATTTTAAATTTTGATTTGGAAAGAATTTTTTGGTAGGTTGAAGCCTTCAGTTTTAACACTGAATTAAATAAAACCTCTAGGCATTGACTAAAGTCTTATTGACTGAAGGACTATTCACTGAAAGTCAAGATTCATTCATTCTTTTCACACTTTTTTTGCTTATGACACACAAGGATGTTTCAGTGAAAGAAATGTGAAGTTTAAATTTTGGCCCTTAGTTCTTAGAATCATAGACAGGGTTGGAAGGGACCTTAGGAGGGGAGTCCAACCCCCTGCTCAAAGCAGGACCCCAACTACATCATCCCAGCCAAGGCTTAGCGTAGCCAGGTCTTAAAAACATCAACAGATTCCATCACCTCTCTGGGTAACCTGTTCCTAGGCTTTACTACCCTTCTAGTGAGAGTCTTTCCTAATATCTAATCAAAACTTACCTTGCTTCCCTTTGGTCTGTCATTTGCCACCACTAAAACAGTCTAGCTCCATCCTCTTTGGAACTACCCTTCA